TTAAAAAAAAAAAAAAAAAAAAAAAAGAAAGACAGCTTGCCGTGTTTTCGGGAAGGGTGTAGTGTTTGCAAGGAAGAGACGACAACATTTCCGTCCGGCTTTGTTGGTGACTTGCTGCTGTGTGTTGGATGCATTTCTCTGGTTGCTGGCCACATGCTAGTCGGTTACCTTGAGATGAGTGCTCTTGCTTATTCAAGCATGTCCTTCCAATATCCCATAGGGAATAAATAGGGCATGGGTAAAAAAAAAAAAAAAAAAAAAAAAAAAAAAGGGCATGGGGTCAGGTCACGGCAAGCCGAGCCGTTTTTCACAAGAGGTGCCAGGTATAAGTGGCAGTAATGCACGTTGCTGAGGTATCTTTTTTTTTTTTTTTTTTTTTTTTTTTTAAACCCCCTTCCAGTGATAGTGACGCTGGTGAGAGCAGACACCACTAGCACCCGAGGAGGGGCTCCATCGATTGGTGGGGAGCAGCGCCTGCTGGAAAATGGGTCCAGCATCCTAACAGACCCCATGTTGGGTTCCTCAATTCGTTGCCAAGAAATTGCGAAAATCGAAAACCCCCTTGGAGGGGTGTTCGGCGAGCAAGGCCCTGTATGTGTTGTTTTTTTTAGGTCTCGCCGGGGTTCGTCGTTTTGTGTATGTTGCGCTTGTCGCATTCCTTTGTATATTCGGTGTGCGCTTTTGAGGCGGTTGATGGGGTTTTGCATGGTTCCATGCGTTGGTGTGCCGGATGGTGGGTGGCGTGCTGGGAAACGTTCTGCAGGTGGTGGATGTTGTGTGATCATTTCCCAAGAGGGGTACTCATTGCGGGACTTGCAACAATGAATGTGAACTGATTTTGCTGTCAGATACGTCTATGCATGGATCCATTGGTGTGTGCAACAGTCAGAACAGGTGTTACTGTTCTTCATCATCGCCATCATCGTCATCATTTTTTTGTTTTTTTTTGTTCTTAAAGCTATATATTCTTCTCTCAATTTCACCTCACACTACCTACCTACCACTACTCCTAATTGTAGGCCTGTCTCTTATACACATCTAGATGTGTATAAGAGACAGGAAGAGAGGTGAGAGGACTTAGAGAAACGGCTT